AGGGATATAGCAAGTCTCAGCAAAGCAGAGCACTAGGAAGCTTATAATAGCTTAAGATAGTGAAAGACTGGGGATCTAGGGAGAAAGATATGGCATGATTAGGAATATGTCAGTGACAAATTTTACCTGCTTGGAAGTATTATGGAAGCCAGCTTCTAAGTGTGATCTGCAGCTGAACCACCAGGGGAACTAAAATGCATATCCCTAGATCCTACTCCAGACCTGGTTGCACAAAATTTCAATTTTTTTTGTGCAGTAGAAATTAAGAACCACTCCAAATCCTATCTCTAGCCCGGTACCTACCTCTGCTTCCCACGAATTTGGGCTTAGAAACTTTCTCTTTTTTTCCTTTTTATTTTATGTGGCTTTTTACTATCAGGTATTACATTTGTATCATTAGCAACATTGTTTAGCTACTTATAGGTTAAATAGAGTTTGTTTTTGTTTTTTTGGAACAGTTAAGGACCTAATTACTGTCTATTAAATAAAAGGTTCTAAATGTCAGATAAGTCATTCAGTTCTTTAGTAAGCTGGAATAAGGCCTGTATAACCTGTATGGATAACTCAGTTTCTGGCTGCTGCGCATCCTGAATTAATATTTGAAATTGTTCCAAATGGATTCTACTGCAATGTAGAATGATTAGTATTTCATAAACTGAAGTCATTTACAAATAATTGTATGAAAAATAATTCAAAGTTTTTTTCTCAATTTGTCCATTTATTATAGTGTGTTACATATTTGAAACATTTTAAGAGAAAAATGGTGTTTTATAGGAAAAAAATTGATTAAAGTTTTATTACTGTACTGTAGAGATTTCTGGAATTTTGATATTAAGAATACTGAATGATCTCTTTTTATACTTTGAGGTTTATTGATAAATGACCTTTTCTAAAGATTAATTAAAGCTGAGTTACTCTTAAAGATAACTTTTCTCAACTGAGGTTCCCCACCTGGACCACAAACACAGAAAATTATTTGACCATTTTTTGAATTCTCCTAAGTTTGGTACCTAACTGGTACTATTCTGGAAAGCAGAGGGAAGAAGCTAGTTATTTACATTCACTGGATGCCTAAGGCAAGGTTCTTCAATGCTGGCCTTGGATAGTTTTTACATTTTTTTACCAGTAAAAAAATTAAAAGACTTATAATTCTTGATGTGGAAAATGCACGAAATTTATATTTTACTGTCCATAAGTTTTTATTGATGCCTATTCATGTATGTATTAACCGTCTGTGGCTGCTTCCCCACCATAACTGCAGAGCTGGGTAATCAAGACAGAGGCTATAGGGCCTGCAGGGCTAAACCTATTTACTGTCTTTCCCTTTCCAGAAAAAAATTGCTGGCCCCTGCCTGAGGTCCTTAGGTCGTAAGTCTCACAGAACTGGTTGAGAAAGGATTTGACTTTAAGGAGAATTACTATTTGAATTTATTTGATGGTTTATTCAGATAATTTGTTCAATTTCCAACATAATACCATGCTTATCTTTCAGATTATGCCTTCCCTTATATTATATTAGTGTTATCTTTGGTTACTCTGGCTGTGTACATGTCTGCTTCTGAAATAGAGGTAGGAAGTCTTTTTCTCTTTTGTTAAATACTTTTTTTTCTATAAATTTGACAATTGAATATAAGAATAGTCCATATGATATGATATAGTACAACTAATTGTTTTAGTGATCTTTGGCTGATTGATACCACTTGGTAGCCTTTAGCTTGTTAACTTTATAAAAAGCTGTGTACTGGACTATATAGTTACATGGGAAATTAGCAAAATAGTGAAGTAGTCAGGCTCAACTATCCAGCATGAAGGAGAAAAGTCAGTTTACATTAACATATAATTATTGAAATGTTGAAACTTATTAACACTAATTTGAGAAAAACCATAAAAATGTTTTATATTTAGAAGTAATTTTAAACTTTATTTTACAATGGCAACATTAACAGTCATCAGTAATTGTTCATTCCATATCCTTCTATGTTTTATCCCAAATTTTATTTTCTTTATTATGGATTTTTACTCTTACCCCATAATGTTTGGGGGATTTGGAGCTAACATTAAAAGCCACATTATTCTGATACTGTTCCTTTATCAGGGTATCCATTTTGTACCTCTAACTTTTTAATATTTCAGTGGAAGGCCACTAATATAAACAACTCCTTTTTAAAAATTGTATATGTCTTTATTTTTAGAATATTTTTGGCCAGAAAAGTCTGTTTTGACACATTTATAGTCACTGGGTAGAATAGAACATCATGTCATCACATCTATATTTTCACATATTCTATTTTTAAGGAACTAAGCTATTGGTCAAAAACATAAACAACAAATGTGAAGCAATAGGGTATTTGACTCTATGCCTAGGGAAAAATGTATTCTTTAAACTTTAAATCAAAATTGGCATTCTTGTACGTTATGTGTTCATATGCAATCTGACATTTTCTTTCTAAAATAATTATGTGGCTCTCTACTGTTAATATATTATATTTAAATGATTTTAAATATGTTAATGGCTCTGATTTAAGAACTATTCTGAGGCTAAACTCTAAAGAAAGCAAAAATATAAAGTGTCTTAGTACTCTTCCACTCAAACTTGCTAATCTAGGGCCTATGAACTGTCTTAAACTACCCATCACAGTTGATATGTGCTTTCTCATAATTTATAACATGAAAAAACTCAACCCAGAGAAAATAAGTTGTTAACTATTTTGGAGTGGTTACTGTTGATGCCACTTTTTCTATTATCTTAGTCAAAGGCTGAATGGGGGAAAACATCTAGAAATCATAGTGACTTTTGGGTAGGATAATAGTGGAGGAACTAGACAGAATATATTTATAGTGATTATTCAGTTGTTTTCATCTGTAGATGATCCTCATTTTTCCTTTGTAATCTTTAACCAGCATTGAAATATAATTAATTAAAGAAGATAGGCAAATTAGTTTTGACACTTTTATCAACTCTAGGGAAAGATTTGAGGGCGGAAATAATTGGCTATTTGAATAAAATGAGGTTTTTGAATTTTTATTTCTTATCCATAGTTAAGAATTAGCTATACACTGTTAAATTATCTTGAAACTTATTTGTTTCTCTGCCCCTGTGAATCTCCTATATAAAATGTTCACATACTTCAATTAGCATGAAATGGGGACCTAAAGCAGGAAAGACAGTTTAGAACTGGTTGAGGTGATGAGCTGTTTAATGATAAGAGAAAGTTGGTAAATAATCTATTGCAAATTATGTTTTAATGTGTTTATTAGCACATTTAGATATTAATTTTGTATTAATTTTGTTCTAATTTCTGCATACTATATGCAGTGGTATTAAGGATTAAAAGAAAATAAGACTGTTCATATGTCATTTCTGCTTCCGTACTATTCATGCAGCAGGCTCCAGGAATGTTATAGGTTAAGGAGGTTGAGTTTCTGTACCTATTTCCCTCCTATAGATCCATAGTGACAGTGGATCAGGGCAGGACACAAGCAGGTAAAGTGGAGTTTCCCTTCTAGTTCATATCTTTCTTTCAGAAGGAACTATAGTGTTTCCAGGAGGGAATGCTGGCGTAGACAAAGACTTAAGAGACATGATGACGTGGCTCTCATCTTGATGCTGCTACTGAGTGCTTATATGACCTTAGGAGCCTCACATTCCTCATCTGTAAAGTGTGGTGGCTAGACTGAGTGATTTCCTAAGTCTTTTTTAGCTTAAACAGTTTATGATTCTGAGATTATAAATCATGTATTTTACATTAAAATATATTAAATTACCCAGCTGATTTAGCCTGATAATCTGTATTTCTCTTTTCTCTCTTTTATAAAATTATATAGAACTGCTATGATCTTCTGGTCAGAAAGAAAAGACTTATTGTTCTCTTCAGCCACTGGTTACTTCATGCCTATGGAATAATCTCCATTTCTAGAGTGGATAAACTTGAGCAGGATTTGCCCCTTTTGGCTTTGGTACCTACACCAGCCCTTTTTTACTTGTTCACTGCAAAGTTTACCGAACCTTCACGGATACTCTCAGAAGGAGCTAATGGACACTGAATGTAGACATGTGAAATGCCGAAAACTTAAGAAATATTCCTAATAAAAAAGTAAAGAAATCTTAACAATGTATGAGAACTGTTCTGTCATATATGGGAACAAGATTGTCAGTATATCTTAATGTTTGGGTTTGTTTTTGTTTAGTTTATGGTTAGACTTGGAAAATGCAAAACCCCTTAATACTCTGTTACACAGGGTACTATTATCTGCTACATGAGAAGCCCACAAGGAAGCACTTGCTTCTCTCAACAGTTCAGCTGTTCTTTAGAGCAAAATCCTGTTTCTGTGTACGTAGCAATGTGTTCCCATTTTATTAAGAAAAACTTACATATGTAATCTGCAATCCTTAGCAGTGGCATAATTGTGTGCACCTGTTGTGTTTCAGTTTGTTTTTCACCTATAATGAATTGTAAAGACAAACATACTTGTAGGGTCTGATAGCAAACATAGAAATGATGTTTGTTGTTTTTTGTTATCTATTTATTTTCACCAATACAGTATTTTGATAGATTGCAAATAGATAATAATTTATATAACAGGTTTTCTGTTTATAGATAGTTTGGTTCAAGACTTGTTTGGATTATTGTTCCTGTAAAGAAAACAATAATAAAAAGATTGACTACATAAAATTTCAGTGTTTTGACAATTGTTTTTTGGCACAATACTATGGAAGTAATTCAAACTAGTAGTTTCCTCTTACATCTGGGGCAAAAATACATACCATATTTTACTAATCTAGAGATACTTTTTATTTCACGTGACATCTCTGAATTAGAATAACTCTTACAACTGATGGCTTATTAGATTTAATGAAATACAGAAAATACACAATATAAAAATGGTTTTCCTATGGATGGTTTGTTTTTTATGACAGATGTTCTGTGATGTTTATGCTCTGAAGGCTCATGGATGCAACTATGGAAGCAAAATAAAATTTTTAGCACTTAACAACAATCTGACCATGTTTATCCATTTTTATTGTTTAGAAGTTTATTTACTGGTTCTGCTACTTGGTGGCAATTGTATGAATTAAATTTTAAACATTTAAGACTTCTATTAATAGCTGCAAAATGTGAAAATAAGTTCACTCACTTTTTCTGTAGTTGTGTTTGTCTTCTGAATTCACAGCAGTTGTATCCTTTCATTATTTTGTTAGTTATTCTTTGTTAATATATTTTTCTCAGTACATTTAACCACTGGGAAATGAACTCTTTTGGTACCACTGTGTTTCTTCTTTTCTGTAGGAATAAAAAATAAATGTAAAAATTCTATTTGTATTACATATAGCTTTGTGTGGTTATTAGTGTTTATCAAAATTCTGCATTGCCCAAAGTATCCTCAATTGGGTAATTGTATAATCAGGTGGAGTAGGGAAGGTGTCATGTGTCTGATTACTAGGACTATATCTTCTGGTCCACCTGGAGCCATTTTAACAATCATGTTTTCAGATGTCCTGTTCTAGCAGAAAAGTATGTATACAAAAGAATAAATTATAACTACAAGGCCCCAAGGGCAAATAATTTCCAGAATACTTAATATAGATCTGCATTTTTAATTTGCTTTGGTAAGAATAAGACTGGAACAATTCATAGGCACTGTAGTTGCTAATGTTACTAAATAATTTGTTAAAACATGGTCATTAAAAATGTTAAAAACAACCCTTGTCTGAGTTCAGTTTTGACTCAGGCCCTTGAAACACATCACAATTCTCGTCACTGCAGTGTATGGTAATTATTTTGCTAACCAGTCCTGGATAGGTAATTTAAAAGTTAAAATACAGGTTGAATATCTCATACCCAAAAGAGCTTGAGACCAGAAGTGTTTCAAAATTCAGGGTTTTTTTTGTTTGTTTGTTTGTTTTTTTCAGATTTTGGAATATTTACGTTATACTTACAGTTCAGTATCCCCAATCCTAAAATTTGAAATCTTAAATTCTTCAGAGTATTTTCTTTGAGTGTCATGTTGGCACTCAAAAAGCTTTGGGTTTTGGAGCATTTTGGATTTTCAGACCAGGGCTACTAACTCTGTGTTTTCTTGATTAATTTGGGTTAGCTGATACGTTTAATAACAACCTTATTATATATTTGTCTAAAATCCTTGGTTTGCAAGACTACTGCACATTGAAGCCACCTGGAGAGATTTTTTTTAAATCATGCCTGGGCCCCACTCCCAGAAATTCATGTTGAATTGGTCTGTGGTGCTCTTTGAGCACAGGGCTTTTATCTTTCTTTCTTTTGTTTTGTTTTTGAGACAGGGTCTTGCCCTGTTGCCAGGCTGGAGTGCAGTGGTGCAATCTCGGCTCACTGCAACCTCTGCCTCCTGGGTTCAAGTGATTTTCTTATGCCTCAGCCACTCAAGCAGCTGGGATTACAGGTGCCTGCCACAACACCCAGCTAATTTTTAGTAGAAGCAGGGTTTCACCATGTTGGTCAGGCTGGTCTTGAACTCCTGACCTCAAATGATCCACTCACCTTAGCCTCCCAAAGTGCTGAGATTACATGCATGAGCCACTGCACCTGGCCAAGCACAGGGATTTTTTAAAAACCTCCAGGTGATTCTAACATTTGAGAACCACTGATCTAAACTCTTCCAAATTTCAGATCTCAATTTTTCCAAGAGACCTTTTGACAAGTACAGGGCAAATGATTGTCTTCTCACTGAAATTTTGATTCTGCTTTAATTATAAGGGGGTGCTTTTCTAGAATTAATAAAAATGTAGATGATTGTATCAAGCCCTTCACAATAACAAAAAATTTTAAAAAACTGATTTTTAATGTTTCTTTCAAAGTACCTCATCCTAAAAATATCTTCTATAGACCACCTATCAAGATACTTGGTTAATACACAAATTATTTATATAACCTAAGTTATAGTATATGACATAATACGCGAGGACTTTTGTAATTTTAAGACAAAATTATTTTTAACACTTTAAAAATAACCATACTAAGTTACTGTTTAGCTTACATATACACTTAAGAATTAACTTACTTACCTTTGATTTACAAGAAAGAAAACTAAGGCAAAAAGAAAGTTTTTAGTAACTAGTTTTCAGGTTGAGTCTGCCCTTTAACATTCTGACAAGCCTATCCCACACTTTTGCTGGTTGGTTCCCCCAGCAGATCTCCACTCAGCCTTGCTACTTGAAGTTCTTGACCAGCTCATGTCTGTGCTTCTTTGGGAAGATATTCCTGTGTACTCCAACATCCAATAAGACTTAGAGCTTTACCCTTAGCCACTTTCTAGAAGGTCCAGTGTATTCTAATCAGCTCTTCAATTGTCTGTTTCTCACAGACTATGCACTTTAAGGTTGAGGGCCTGGGTCTTACTCAACTTTGTAACATCTGCTCCAGTGTCAGGCTCCAAAGCACCCAGTATTGATGAAGCTAGTGCAGTGATCCTGGAGAGGGCAGGACCTCCAGGCTGCAGTGACTATCATGGCCAGAAGAGGACAGTAGAGGAGTGCTGACGTGATGTAAGGGCTTCTCCAGAAGTCCTGTGGCGGAACCAACTCAACAAGGAACCTTCAAAGGTGGCTTAGAGATGGCCAAGGAATTCAAGGAGATAAATTTTACCATTACCTCCCCAGGAGGGTGGTAGGTTTCAGGGATTTGATGAGTGCCTAATATGGGTCTAGTGTTTTATAACTACTGTTAGCTATCAGTGATATTTCACAACTGTGGAGACTGAAGAGTGGAGGTTAAATAACATGTCAGAAGCAGCGCTTTGAAGGTACAGTGGCTCACACCTATAATCCCAGCACTTTTAGAGGCTGAGGCAGGAGGATTGCTTGAGCTGAAGAGCTCAAGACCAGCCTGGGCAACATGGCGTAACCTTGTCTCTACAATACACACACACACACACACACACACACAGTAGCTAGGCACAGTGGCATGTGCCTGTAGTCTCTGCTACTTGGGAGGCTGAGGTGAGAGGATTGCTTGAGCCTGGGAAGCAGAGGTTGCAGTCCAGCCTGGGCAACAGGGTGAAAGACCCTGTCTCAAAAAAATAAAAGGAAGTAATGGTGGCTGCTATGGTATGAGCGTTTGTGTCTCCTCTAAAATTCCTATGTTGAAACCTAATTTCCCATATGTATTAGAAGGTGTGGCCTTTGGGAGGTGGTTAGGTCTTGGGGTTTATGCCCTTATCAAAGAGGTCCCAAAGAGCTGCCTTACCCCTTACATTATTTGAGGACAAAGTGAGGAAGCATAATTCTATGAATAAGAAGGTGGGCCCTCAGCAGAAGCCAAATCTGCCAGTGCCTTGATCTTGGACTTCCCAGCCTTCAGAACTGTGAGAAATAAATTTGTGTTATTTATAAACTACCCAGTGTACAGAATGTTATACTAGCCCAAATGAACTAAGACAGTGGCTGGATCCATTGCTATAGCAAGCTCTGCATAAACAGCCTCTGCTTATTCTCATCTGGGTGGTCTTTACTTATTTGTACACTGCTAGTCTCTACTTGTCATAGATTATCTATAAGACAGTCCTCAAAATATATGAAAAATGAAATATGATATTAGTAATTCAGTGAAACTTTTCCTAAGCATCATAAAGATTACATCAGGTTTCAGATAAAAATGGAAGATTCATTCATGTGAAGACAGTGCACTTGACTGTCTTATCACTATTCCTCTTTTTAATTTTGACTTAATCTTACCAATATCCCTCTTTTTACTTTTAAGACAGGGTCTCACTCTGTCATCCAGGCTGGAATGCAGTGGCACAATAATGGCTCACTGCTGCCTTGACCTCCCAGGCTCAAGCAATTCTCTCACCTCAGCCTTCCAGGTAGCTGAGACAGAGGTGCTACCATACCCATCTAACTTTAAAATTATTTTTACAGAAACAGGATCTCATTATGTTGCCCAAGCTGGTCTCAAACACCTCGACTCCAGCAATCCTCCTGCCTCAGCCTCCCAAAGTGCTAGGATTATAAGCATGAGTCACCGCACCCAGCTCTTTTTACTTTTATCCCATTTTATTTCTATATCCTACTTTTAAAATTGTTTATCTAGTGATTATGCTCTTTAAAATTAAGTCTTAATAACCATGAATAGATCTGTACACTTGCCAGATGATAGTATTTTTGTTTTATCATTTCATCTCTCTTCTAGACTCTGTTCTCCTTCCTTCTCCCCAGCTCCATCTACCCCCACCATCCTATCTTCCCAGATGATTCTACCATTGGGACCTCTGGGCAGTCACCTGTGCAAGGACTCACCTTCATTTCTCACCACAGCCCTAATCTGGACAGAGTTTTGTGGTTGTGTCTAACATGACAATATTGTGGGGATTGAGGATGAAGCTGATATGCCTCTGGAGAGACTGGACTGCTTGCTCATGAGGCAAGCATGTGACACATCAGGTATAGACATCTCAGAAGCCCCCAAAGCCATCACTAGATTTTTCCAAGAAGGTAACAGTTGCTGTTTTTAATGTTAAACTCAGCTCAGGAAGAAAAGGTAAAATTATATTCAACTTCTTAAACAGAAAAAATGTATAAACAAGTTTAAAAAGACCTCTCTGGAAAATGTTTAAGATAAACATTTTATTAAAATTATAAAGAAGATTCAGTTGTCTAGAAAATTCTCTTAGGCTGGGATCAGTGGTTCATGCCTGTAATCCCAGCACTTTGGGAGGCCAAGGTGGGCAGATCATGAGGTCAGGAAATCAAGACCATCCTGGCTAATATGGTAAAAAATACAAATATTATCTGGATGTGGTGGCAAGTGCCTGTAATCCCAGCTACTCGGGAGGCTGAGGCAGGAGGATCACTTGAACCAGAGGTTGACAGATGAACATATCTGTCAGAGGTTGCAGTGTGCCAAGATTGCGCCACTGCACTCCAGCCTGGCCACAGAGTGAGACTCTGTCTAAAAAAAAAAAAAAGAAGAAAAGAAAATTATCTTAGGTGAAAGGCAGAATTGGCTAACACTGCAACAGTGTATTCAACCCACAAGTAAGTATCAATGTTCAATTGAATGTTTGTGGAATAATTGGGGATAACTAAGTTACTTAGGTGACACTTTTTTCCTTCTCTTGATGTTACCAGCTACATAGTAAAATAGTAGGAAGTCCCATGTTACCAAAGTTCTAAGCTCTTGCTTACTAAGAAGGTTCACTGGTGATTCCTGCTTCACAAGAGAATGCAGCTCTTCAAGACTTCCTTGTAGCCATGTACTGATATGCTCCATATTTTCATCTCTTTCACACAGTTTGTCTGTTAGAATTTTTATGTCTTGCAAGGTCTCTTCACCATTGTCCACCAAGATCTAAAGAAACAGCATTTTAGGGTATGTCAACATAAATTGCAACAACATAAACAAATACACATTCTGTCTAAATGGATCATGCCCAGAATGAAAATATTATATATGCAAATTGGTATCCATCATAAAAAATAAGTGCATGTATACACAGCCAATTCACAAAGTTCTGTAAATGATCTTGGGAAAATGGATTATCAAATGAGAAGAATAATGGAATGCTTACTGAACTCAAATTTTTAAGTGGATAATGGTAGCCATGGTGATGGCAGCATAAAAAGCTAGTTTCCCTCTCAGAGAAGCACAGAGCTGCAGAGGAGATTCAGCCTAACAGAAGGAACTTTGGAATCAGGCAGGATGTGGGTTGTAAATTCCCATACGTTCATAAACTATTTGGTCTTGGGCAAGTTATGTAAACCCTCTGAGCCTCAGCAGCTCCATCTGAAAAAGGCATTTTAACACTTTCCTAATCCAGTGTTTTAATACTTAAATGAGGATTATATGTAAACTTTAAATTCTTAGAAAGTGGCAGAGCCAGGATTTTAACCCCAGCCTGACACTGAAGTGGGGAGGGTGCAGATGTTGCACTGGTAAAAATGAAGAGGTAAGGAGTCCAGAACTGACAACTTTGTCCTAAACAAAATGTGTTCACTTAGGTCATGTAAATAAAGTCTTTCCCACCTTAACTGAATGGTAGGAAGACAGTTTCCCAAAAAACTCAGATTTCATAGTGACATTGGTTAAAAAAATAAAAGGACACATTTTAGGATGTGGTGGTCACAGTAGCATCTAGAACTGCAGGGGAGTGACAGAGCTAGTGTGACTTTCCACCTTGATGTGTGTGCATTCAGGTGTACACAGACACAAACGCACACACACTTATTAGGTAGGTAAACATTTTTAGAAATATAGTTATTTATATGGAGGCAACACACACACACACACACACAAAACTCACCTTAACTGTGGCCTGAAATTCAGCCCACAAATTCTCATATTGTACTAAAATAAAGAATTAAAAAATACAATGGTTACTGATACAATTTGAACATTTTAATAAAAGTCATGTGTTTTTTCAAAAATTATTTTCTTAACTAAAAATTTCTACTTCCAAAATGACAGAATAACTGGATTGAACTTGCCCTCCCACTATAAACACGTAGAGGAAAGAAGCGAAACGTATTAAAGAAATGTTTTCAGATGTAGAAGAATGGGCAGCCCAGGACCTTAACACCTGGAAGAAGAGAAACAAAGGAAGTGAGTCTTGCGATCACCCAGCTTTCCACTGGGGGACACTTTCCAGACCACAGCACAAGCACAGCAGGGTGGTCTTAACACAGACACAAAAAGATTAGCAAATTGAATCTAGCAATAGACAAGAACAATAAAAGCTTTTGGACAAGTGGGCTTTATGCTAAGAATGAGAGAATTCAAATTCAATCAGTGCAACTTACCACACAAACAGCATAAAGGAGTAATACTAGCTGAGTATCTCAGTGGATGTCTGAGCAGCTGAGGCTAGTCACCCAGGCACTCTGTGCCTACATAACTGACCATCCCCCTGCCCCGCCCATAAGTACCTTGAACACCCAATCCTGGGTGAGCCTCCCTGGCTGGCAACACTGCATGTGGGGCCACACAATGTTGCTGGGGAAATTAAGGGCATCTCTGAGAAGGTCGCACTGGGTTTCCTCAAAACTTTGCCCTCTATGCCTTTTCCCTTTGTGATTTTACTCTTATCTTTCACTATAATAACAGTAACCGTAAGTATAACAATTTTCAATTCCTGTGAATCATTTTGGCTAATCATTAAGCCTAAGAGTAGTCCTGGAACATCTGATACTTCACTAAAGCTGCACAATTTTTTTGAGATAAAGACCTAAATAAATGGAGATATATACTATATTCTTGGATTACATAATACAATATGAAAAAGTCAATTTTTCTAACATTGACTTATAGATTCAACACAAACACAGTTAAGATTCCAGCAGGTGTGTGTGTGTATGTGTATGTGTCTGTGTATATAGAGATTAATTAGGTGATTCTAAAATGTATATGGAAATCAAAGAATTTAGAATACTGAAAATAATTTTAAAAGAGAAGCATACAGGTGAAGAATTCTATTACCTTATGTCCAGACTGCATATGAAGCTATAATAATTAAGACAGTGTGGTATTGGTATGAAGTCTGGCATTTAGATTAAAGGAACAAACCCATAAAGTTGATTTTTGAAAAGCTGCTAGAGTAATACAATGGCAAAAGCATGATCTTTCCAAAAACAGTACTGGAACAACTGAATGTACATAAGGCAAAACAATGAAATTCAAGCCTTGCCTCACATCATATGAAAAAGTTCACTTAAAATGAATTAGAGATCTAGACATAAACACTAAAACTAAACTATATATACATATACAGGAAATCTTCAAGAGCTTGGCGTAGGCAAAAATGTTTTAGGCAGGAATCAAAAAGTACTAACCTTAAAAGACAAAATAGATAGATGGGTTTTATTCAAATGAAAACTGTTTACTCTTTCTGAGACACCATGAAGAAAACGAAAAGTCAAGCTTCAGACTGAAAAAGGACTCATTTCCAGAAAATATAAAGATTTTAATTCAATAATAAGAAAACAAACAACACAAAGCAATGAGATAAAGATGTGGACAGACAGGTGACAGATTGTATTTTCCAAAGATAACCCCACAATATATTCTATTCTTTTTTTCCCCTGACACGATGCTGACACTCCTTTCATTGAGCAGTGGTGGCTATGACTCCTCTCCTTGCACCTGAGTGACTGCCTCAACCATTAGCATGTTGTGAAAGTAACACTCTGACTTCTGAGGCTAGGTCATAAGACACCATGAACTTCTACTTTATTCTCTTGGGATGCTTTTGGAACCAGGCCAAACAGCTACATGGAGAGGCCATGAGGAGGTGTTCTGGCCAACGGTCTCCCTCGAGATCCAGTTGAGAGCAAGCATCAACTTGAGACACAGGAATGAGTGAGTCTTCAGATGATTTCAGTTCCCAGCTGCTGAATTACCCTCAGTCTTTAAGTTGCCCTGGCTGATGCCATGTGGAGCAAACATTAAGTTGTTTTCAGCAAGCTCTGATCACATTGCCAATTAGTGAGCAAAATAAATAATTTGTCTTCAGCTACTATGTTTGCAGTATTTGTCACAAAAGATAATATTCACATGAAAAAGGATACTCAGCATTAGTCATTAGATAAGTACAAGTTACAATCAAAATGAAATGCCATTACATACCTATTAAAACAACCAGAATATTAACAATTTAAAGCGTTTTGACAATTTTAAGTGCTGATGAGTATGTAGAGCAATGGGAACTCTTCTCCATTGTTAGTGGAATGAGGCACTTAATGATCACTTTGGCAAAATTATCTGGTGGTTTCTTATAAAGTTAATCATACACTAACAGCTATATAACTCAGCAATTCCATTATAGGTATTTACCCAAGAGAAATGAAAACATGGCCATAAAACACTTGTAAACAAATGTTCACAGCAGCTTAATTCATAATAATCCCAAACTGGAAATAATCTAAATGTCTTTTGACTGGTGACTGAATAAACAAAATATGGTATCTATATAATAGGATTCTATGGTACAGCTATAAAAAGGAGCAAACTAATGATACATGCAACAACTTGGATGAATCTTAAAACAATTTGCTGAGTGAAAGAAGTCAGGTTTAAAGTGTGCATATGCTATCATTTCATTTATATCTAACTATTAATGACAGAAAGCAGATCAATGGTTTCCAGGAACTGGAGATGGGGTAGGTGATCAACGACAAAAGAATACAGAGAAAATTTTGTAGCGATGAAAATGTTCTGTATCTTGCTTGTGGTGGTAGTGGTTACAGTGGCATGTACATTTGTCAAAATTCACTAATTTAAAAACGGATGCATTTTTTGTAGGCGAATCAATAAAATGAATTTAAATGAAGTAAAACTTTTATGTGTAAAGAGCATTGTAATGGTTAATATTGTCAACTTGATTGGATTGAAGCATGCAAAGTACTGTTCCTGGGTATGTCTATGAGGGTGTTGCCAAAGGAGATTCACATTTGAGTCAGTGGATTGGGAGAGGCAGACCCACCCTCGATCTGCGTGGGAACTATTTAATCAGCTGCCAGCACAGCTAGACTGGCTGAGTCTTCCAGCCTTCTTCTTTCTCCCATGCTGGATGCTTCCTGCCCTCGAACATCAGACTCCAAGTTCTTCAGCTTTTGGGCTCTTTGACTTACATCAGTGGTTTGTCAGGGGCTCTAGGGCCTTTGGCCACAGACTGAAGGCTGCACTGTCAGCTTCCCTACTCATGAGGCTTTGGGACTCACAAATCCCAAATCCTCCACCGGCTTCCTTGTTTCTCAACTTGCAGATCACTTATCACAGGACTTTACCTTGTGATCTTGAGTCAATTCCCCTTAATAAACTCCCTCTCATATATATATATATATATATATATATAGCATTAGTTCTGTCCCTCTAAAGAACCCTGACTAATACAAGCACCCACACATTACTTACCCTCCTGAGCTATCAGTTGCTGAGACAAGTCACTTGAGGTGTGCATGATGAGAGCTTCTTGTCCTTCTCTATATTTCTCTATGTTATTCTTCATGTATAAAATGTACTGAAAATTAAAAGCATGTGATTGCTTTTAGCAGTTTAGTTACTATAGATAAATTATCATGTAGTAATTCAGCAAACATGTATAAATTCCTCCTCTGTGCCACCCACTGTTCTAGGTAAAGGGGTAACAGTGGTGAATAAAACATACCTTGGTCAGGCTTCCATCCTGGGGAAGGAGATAAATGATTCTCCTTCCTTTTAAGCATTTCATTTCTGCATTTAAATAAACATGGCATTCTGAGTATAATTTTCCATGAATGGAAATTAGAGGGTGTTCCATCCTAATGTATCATGTCCAGTACAAAAATGTTCCTGATACAAAATGTGTGTGCGGTAGATGTCACAAAGCAGTAATGCTGCCAGACTGGAGTTCAGTGTAAGGCCTCAGAGAGATGATTGAGTCAGGAGACTGCATAAATTACTTACTCAAGTCAGATGTTCACTGGGTTGGTGACAGTGGTGGCAATAGTGACAGGTAACTTTGAGTATTAAAGTCATGGCTTTCTGTTCTGACCGCCCAGTGCTTAGAAACGCTAAAGTCCCAGGAACTCTGAAAGTACGGGCTTTCAGAGTTCGCAGAAATTGTGTTCAGTGCTATAGATGAGGTAGACATGGGACTGTTACATAGATTGTTTTAAGCATATAGGGTTGACTGATGTATCTTTACTCTTGTATCAGTCTTTTCATAGCTTGTGTTCTGGTATTATAATAAACAAAATTAAAAGTCTCCTTGAGCCAAGTCCAAGGCCTCATTCTTGTCCTTCTTCAAACATGGGGTTGCAGACTTGCCTAGTTCAGCTGTACTCCTGTGCTTCTCCCAAACTCTCTATTTTCTTTTAGTCTCCCTCTTCATCTCCTCTTCCACAGCTCACTCCTTCAAAGTTGTTTTTCTCCAGGGTTCTGTTCACAGCCCCTGATCTACTCGCTCAACACACTGTCCCTGAAGAGGCTCATCCATCTCCCAAGTGTAAATCCTGCCTTTACGCTAATGATAACCAGTGAGAGTTCTCCCTTGAGCTCCTCACCTGGTGTGGCAAGGTGCCCTTGCTCTGGGGCACTGAATGTGTCCTGCTCAGATTGCTGTACTTAACATACTGAATTGTAATGATCTGTTTGTATGTGCATCTCTTCAGCTAGACCATGAGCTTCCAAAGGGCTGGGGCGGTATCTTACATATCTCTGCATTCACTGTGTCTTGCTCAGTGCTTGGGACTCAGTGCATGTTTAGAGTAAAGGGATGCAATCAGCAAAATTGAGTGGTGAGTGAATAAGAAAACAGTGCAGGGTCCTTTGGTGACTAGCAGATAGACACTGAATTTAAAAAAAAAAACAGGACTTTTGGAATCAGTCTTTCATGTATGCATCCATCTGCTAACCAGATGCCAAAATAGCAATACGAATTACAATTCTTTTAAGAAATAATCTATATCCTGATAGGAAAGTAGTCTAGTGGAACAAACCAGTTTGTTTCAAGGTCTAGAAGAATGAAGATGCAATGGAAGTGTGAGGGTTATCAATGATGGTATGTATCCAGGCTCTCTGGAGCGCAATTACCTTTTCAAAGTGCATTAGTACCTATTATGTTATTTTAGTTTATAAAAAAACACATGACAGTGGTGAGATAACTATTGCCATTTAACAGATGAAAAAAATTATCCAGCGAAGTGAAGGGATTTTCTTCATGCCATTGGACTAGTCATTGATTTTTTTCTGGCTATTAAAACTTCTAAAAAAAAAACAGCCTCAATTTACACATCTATAAATGGGACATACTGTATTATCCACTTTTTAAGGTTACCGTGAGCCTTAAATGTCAAATGAGACTGAATCCCTCTAACATTACAGGCATTGTGCAAAACAGGTGGGGTACATTGACAACAGATCTGGACCATGAGGTCATTATGGATGGCTGCAAAAAAAGGATTTTAAAAATTTTAATTCTTTTGCATTTTTGGTTTATAAAGAAGTCACATTAAACCTGTGAGTAGCAGCTATTCCCATTTTAAGAGGAAAAAATGAAGCTTACAAGTTCAGTGATCTGCCCAAAGTCACACAGAGTTACTAGTGAATAACAGACTCTAATCCAGGTCTTTCAAACTAGATAATATTATGTAAAGTTTTGTTGTTATTGTTTTTGTCATAGTATATAAAATACAGGATTCTATGCACTTTAACAATATGCTTTGAATGAAATAGTTCTGGGCATTAAACATCAGTTCTTATATCTAATGATTAAATATAGCATTTTAAAATGTTAAAACAAATAACTTTTAAGTATAAATAAGACTTTAATTTTAGGAGTTGGATGAACAAATTCCTCTGTTATAAAAAGAGCTACAATCAGTATGAACTAGACAACCTACTTTTAAAAAATGGGCAGAAGACCTGAACAGTCACTTCACAAAAAGAGGATATCCAATGCCAAGAACGGGATAGGTGCTTCAACAGTGATCAGGAAAACACAAATTAGTGGGGCACCACTAGACACCGTCAGAATGTTTAAATTGAAAAAGACAGTTTGGTGAGAGTGTGGAGCAACGGGTGCTCTCATGCATTGCTGGTGGGAATGGCAATTGGTGCAACTTCTTTGGGAGACAGGTAGTATGTACTAATGTGGGAGTTATGCATCTCTATGGCTCTGCAATTCCACTTGAGATGTATACTCAACAGAAATATGTGTGTTCACCAAAAAATGTGAACTAGAATGTTCACAGCAATACTATTTTTAATAGTCAAAAATTAGAAACTCTCTAACACCCATCAACAATACAGTATATAAGTACATTGTAATAGTAGTCATACAGTGGAATACTACACAGAACTAAGAGTAACAAACTACATTCAACAATAAGGTTGAACCTCACAAACATAATGTTGAGCAAAATAATCTACACTGTATTGTTTTATACCTATAATATTCCAAACCAGGGAAAACCAGTCTATGACATTAGCATGCTGGTACCCTTAGTGGGGCTGGTTAGTGACTAGAGGGAGCATAGAGGATATCTGGATACTGATAATGCTTTGTTTCTTGATCTGGGTGCAGGTTACACAAGTGTGTTCATGGAGCTGTACACTTGCAATCTGGGCACTTTTCTGGTACTTTATACTCCATTAAAAATTTTTCAAGAGCTATTATTTTCTCTTGTAACTATTACAGGTCTAGTCAATTAATCGAAGCCATCATGCAAAGCGTGGTGCTCTCAAACTTACTTCTTTTAATTTTTTATTTTCCAGGAACAGAAGGTCTGCTTTTTCATCATTTATGTAGATTCCACTTTCTAAGTTCTTTAGAATTTCAAAATGATCTTTGATTTTTTTGCTTTCTTGATCTCGTAATTGTTTTAATTGTTCTTTTAGGTCCTCCTGTTCAAACAGAAAACTCCAAATTATTTCTGAGTTCAAAGTGCAAGGCACCAGGGTATTACATTGCCTAGATCACATTGGAGCTGGATTATAAATTAATTCCTGAAGCATCAAGCAGAGAACAGATATTTTTCCTTAGAAAAACCTAGCAATCCCACATTTATTCATGGACTCTAGGAAGGGGGTCTGTGGACTTCAAGTTAAGAACTCCAGACATTGAGACAATTTCACAAAATAAAACATACAGTCAACCCTCTGTATCTGTGGGTTCTGCATTTGTGGATTTATAAACATGGATGGAAAATATTCACAAAATAAAAATAATGAAAATAAACAATACAAGTAAAAATAATACAGCATGACTACTTACACAGCATTTACATTTTATTAGGTATTATCAGTAATCTAGAAATAATTTAAAGTATTTTGGAGGATTTGAGTAGGTTATATGCAAATACTGCATCAAGGGGCTTGAGCATCTGTGGATTTTGATAGATATGTTGGTCTTGCAACGAATCCCCCATAGACATAAGGGATGACTATACTTTGATATATGAACAACTGTCTGGAAAAATAGAGAAGGGGAAATTTATTGAGGTTTTTTTTTTTTTTTTTTTTGAGATGGAGTTTTACTCTTTGTTCTCCAGGCTGGAGTGCAGTGGTGCAATAGCTCACTGCATTCTCCACCTCCTGGGTTCAAGCAATTCTCCTGTTGCAACCTCCCGAGTAGCTGGGATCACAGGTGCCTGCAACCACGCCTGGCTAAATTTGTATTTTTAGTAGAGATGGGGTTTCACCATGTTGGCCAGGCTGCTCTCGAACTCCTGACCTTAGGTGATCCGCCTGCCTCGCCTCCCAAAGTGCTGAGATTACAGGCATGAGCCATTGCGCCCAGCCTACTGAGGCTTTTAAAGAATTTAATGATTCTTAAAGAAAAATTACTTTATGAAATTTTCAGAATTCCCTAATGTTTTCTCTACTAATTTCTCTGTTCAGTTCTCTGTTGTTAGACTATTATATATTGCATGAGATTTATTCATTGTATAATCATCACCAGCAGCATCTTTTGTTTTGTTTGAGACAGAGTCTCCCTCTGTCACCCAGGCTAGAGTACAGTGGCACGATCTTGGCTCACTGCAACCTCTACCTCCCAGGGTTCAAGCAATTATCCTGCCTCAGCCTTCCGAGTAGCTGAGATTACAGGCACATGCTACCACACCTGGCTAATCTTTGTATTTTTAGTAGAATTGGTCAGGCTGGTCTCGAACACTTGGGTTGGCCTCCCAAAGTGCTGGGATTACAGGCGTGAGCCACTGTGCCTGGCCACCAGCAGCATCTTATTAAGAAAATAAAACTGCATATATACTATACTTGTAATTTTCTCCTTCATATTTTCCTCTATATTCCTTCACATTTTATAACATTAAAAGTTACATTTACATTTTGAGGCTGAGCATGGTGGCTCACACCTGTAATCCTAGTACTGTGGGAGGCCGAGGCAGGCCCATCACTTGAGGTCAGGAGTTTGAGACCAGCCTGGCCAACATGGTGAAACCCCATCTCTACTAAAAAATACAAAAAGTAGCCAGAAATCGCTTGAACTTGGGAGGCTGAGGTTGCATTGAGCCAAGATTGTGTGACTGCACTCTAGCCTGGGCAACAGAGTGAGATTCCATCTCAAAAAAAAAAAGTTACATTTTGATATCAATGAATCTCAAAGTATGTTTCCATTTTCAGTTAACCAACTCCACATGCACGTGCTCATCACCAACTATTGATTATAAATTTTTAAAAGGCACTAAACACATCTTTACCTGCCACTAATTCATCCATTCCCCTCACTGCAATCTTTGTTCATGCACCCTTAAAAAGCAGAATCAAGTCTCTAACTTAAGAAAACCGAGGTCCACTCAATGACTGTTCCACAATTATATGTTATTGGTTCTAGTCTCTCTCTTTCCCTACATAAGTATATGTAGATGTGTGTATGTGTATACATCTGTGCATATGTATGTATTGTAACAAAGATTTTTTAACATTGAGATGGAAAGTATAAGTTTAACAAATGCAGATTTCATGAAAACTTCAATGCCAGGTAAATGTTACTGTCTGTATATACCACTATTCTAATTTTTTAAAATAATAATTAATGCATTGATCCTTTACCATGTTGGTAACGTATCTTGAAAAGTCCCTTGTAAACAGAAAAATGTGATTGTTCAGTAAATCCTCCTCCTGTCTTTGTGCTAAAGAAAAAAAGAAAAAAATACCTCAAAAACTTAGTTAACAAAATATTAATCAAAGAAAGAAGCACCCAGTTTTAAGTCAAATTCTCTCACAAGGTTTATAACAAAAACCAGCTGTCAGGCGCTCCACAATGCTATGTTTACTCCTGTGTGACTCCTCAAAATCAACCATTTTTAACTCGTGTTTCTTGTTTAGTCTTTCACTTAGCTCAATTTTCTTTAAAATATGCAAATATGCCTATTTTTTAAAAATTATTTTCAGGCATTTTCTATTTAATTAGTCCCATTTCCATCTCCTCCCACAGCCACAACCTCTACATTTCCTCCCTGACCTTCCTATACAGTTTTTGTTTAAATAAATCTAACTATTTTGATCACTATGGCAATAAGGATTATTCCCTGATGAACCAAATGGTATAATATGAGTATATTTCCTTTTTAGTATAATTTGTTTTTTCCTGGAGTTAAAAAAACATCTTATTAAAAAAAAAAATTTGCTCAGTGTTCCATGTACACATAATTAATTCATAGCAAATCTACAACAGAATTGTAAAACCATTCTAAATATTATTTCCCATAGAGTCAAACACATGAACAAATCTATCAGTTCCATTTCTCCCCTCTCCCTCAGAACCCCCCTCTGAGATATGACTTCGGGGATCTTCTCTTTCTTTGTGCTTGCTTTGCAGCTCACTTCTTAGGACTTCCTTTTGCATTTTTCTAAGTTTTTATTCGACCAGAACCCTTTGCATTATTCTTATGCTGGACTTCTTGTTTCCTGAATTTCTTATACTCTTTTTCTTGATTCATTCCTTCTATTTGTTGAAGCAAATTCTACACAGCTTTAGGAGAAAGAGTAAATGGGATAAATGTTTTGAGATCTTGTATATCTCAATATGTCTCTATAAACCTGATAGTTTAGCTAATTAATGTTAGAAATTATTATCTCTCAGATTTTGAAGCTATTGTCTTATAACTTCTACTACAATGCTCTTAAGAAGTTTGAAATTATTCTGATTTCTAATATTTTGTGTGAGATGTAATTTTTCTCTCTAGCAGCTTTTAGGATCTTCTCTTTCTATTTTTCCTTCTGAAATTCCACAGTGATATGGCTTAGTCTCTTCTTTTAAATATTGTTTTGGGGATTTGCTTGGATATTTAAAAATGGAAACATATTCTCTAGTTATAAGATATTTTTGTATTATTTCTTTGATAATTTTATTCTTTCTTTAAAAACATGAATATATGGCTATAACTTGATTTATCTTTGTCAGTCGTTTTCTATTTACTTTGTCATATAGTAGAGGGCAATTTAGCATGCTTACTCCCATTCCCCCATCCCCCACCCACATCCTCTGCATTTCCTCCCTAACCTTTCTATAATGTTATAGTTTTTGTTTAAGTAAATTTTAACTGTTTAGATTATTATAATAGTGTAAGAATTATTCACTCATTTTTTTTCTGGTCTCCTTGTTTGGTAGATATTTGGCATCTCAGAATAGTTCTTTAATTTTCTTACCTTTCTTTCCTTTTTCTCATCCGTTTTTGTTGATGTTGATGCTCTATTTTTACAGATTTTCTTAATATTTCTTGTTATTTTCCTATTGAATTTTAACTTTACACTTTTAATTTCTGAGAGCTCTGTTCTCTTATCTTTCTTTTAAGCATGTTCTTTTTTCATAAATGGGATATATTTATTTCTCTAAGAATATACACTTTAAAAGCATACTTATGCTCTTTGCATTTTCTCTGTTTCCACCAAGTTCTCTTATTCTGTCCACTTCAGTTTCTCTTTCACACTGGGTGCTTCAGATCTTTGTCCTATCCCATTTAATAGTCCTGAGTAAGCTTCAATATACAGTGGTCAGGAAGGAACCAGCTATTTGAAGGGACCATTGAATGTTGGTGTTGTTGTGGAGCTTTTCTCCGAACTGTTCAGTTTCCTTACAGGAAGAATCCAATAGTCTCCTTCCTCAGGTTGGGGTAAGGGATTATAAAGGAGTTCACAACACCGTTGGCTGGCAACATTCATCAAGCTGAGCTCAAAGGGGATCTCAGTACAGTACCTGTCTTCCACTCTCAGCCATATCTAATGCCTTGCAGTCTGAAGCCATCCGGTCCAGTTTCTTTGCCAGCGTTGAGGAGGAGGAGTCACTCAGTTAGCTGTACAAGGATGGGATTTGACCTGTAGCCCTAATTGCTCTTTATAAAGACTTTCAACCAACCTTTAGACTTGTGACTCAGCTGTCACAGTTTCAGGGGACGCCACTGCCTGTGACTTTACAGATTCAGGGAAAATAACTTTTTGGCTTCTCTTTCTGTCACTATCCAATTACACCATCCCAAAATTTCTTGATATTTATTATCAGGTAATAAATAATAAATCAGCAGATAGTAAATGTCTTATCTCTGCCAGTGTCTTGCTTATGGATTTGTATCTTTTTTAAAAACAATCTTTATATACATATTTGGAAGTTTCATGAAGGAACAAAGATATATGCATTTGTTTTATCCATCAGACTTAACTAAAAGCTTTATGTGCACCAAGCCCATGCATGCCATTCTCTGTAAATGCAGCCGCTGGCAGGTCAACCTTCCTGCTCTTATGTTCCCTTTACTTCTTTTCATCTGTCTTCTCTTTACTTTCTTAAGCATTTTCTTTTTTTATATTAAGAGATTTAGTACTCGCAATGTATCGCTTACTTTTATACTCCTAGTGTTTCTTATCTCCTCTACCTAGTATACAAAGGGATAGGAATAATGGTTGGGGAAGTAGAAAATTGGGAATAGGCTGGGCACAGTGGCTTATGCCTGTAATCCCAGCCTTTTGGGAGGCCAAGGTGGGTGGATCACGAGGTCAGGAGTTCAAGACCAGCTTGGCCAACGTGGTGAAACCCTGTCTTTACTAAAAATCTAAAAATTACCCAGGTGTGGTGACACACCTGTTATCCCAGCTACTCAGGAGACTGAGGCAGGAGTATCACTTGAACCCAGGAGGCAGAGGTTGTAGTGAGCCAAGACTGTGCCATTGCACTCCAGCCTAGGTGACAGAGAGAGATTCTTTCAAAAAAAGAAAGAAAATTGGGAATAAGAGACAAATGTATTGTCTGTCTGGGTAAAACTGGTAGGAGGCCAAGAAAACCTGACAAGAAAGTGAAAAATCAACTGAGGAGTGGGAACCAGACCAATTATCCATGTATTATTATTGTAACATTCTTACATTTTTAAAAATCCACCCTCCTTGGCAATAATATTTGAATATTTATTTTACATTTGAACATATTGGGATTCCATATGAATGTCCCATTTTGACACAGGAAATTTTAAATATTCATCTTTGCTAACCAGTAGACAATTTTTGTTCCCATTCTAGTTATTTCTGTAACTTTTGGTCCTGGCCTTCTGATTCCCACATATCTTCTTTCATCATCTAGAAGATACAAATTCTGGAAGTTGTTCCTGCTTAAAAGACCTGGGCAGACCCCTTAGATAATGACCCCTCTACTCCCCAAATGCAATACAAGACTCAAAACTCAAAAAGATGATTCTGGGCCAGGCACAGCACTTTGGGATGCCAAGGTAAAAGGATCTCCTAAGCCCAGGAGTTTGAAATCAGCCTGGGCAACAGTGAGACCCTATCTGTTTTTTTTTTTTTTTTTTCTTTCTTCCTTTCATTCAAGAAGATTTTGGATATATAAACTTTGGACCCTGGGCACAGGGTTGAATGATCACATTCAATTTTTGTAGAGAAAATAATTATTTTTATGTTAAACAGGCATGATTATACTACGTGATATAATTCAAAATATGCATACTTTCAGGCATACTTCACATTCTCTATTAACCCCCAGAACTGAGACAAGCTCTTACCTACCTTTACTTTAGGAGGAAGTTGGTGAAAAAAATCTGAGGAGTGCCTACTCAATAAATGGTTAAAATCATAGTGGGAAAAGAGATATAATTTGCAAATTCATGGTAAGAAACAGAAAAAGATTTTCACATGGTAGCAAATAAATAAGTTCGTTCTACCTCTATGAAGCATGGAGAGAAAGAAAATAATAAACAACTAAATCTTAAATAGTTCTTAAAAGAGAAAAGAAAAATTTTGACAATAGCAACAGTAATATTGTAGTATGGAGGAGAAATTAGTAGGTGAAGCAAAAACTAGAGAATAGAGGCCTAAAGACAATGGGAAAAGTTTGGTGAATTTCACCATTGGCTTGCAATTGATGACCTGCCTTATGTTAGAAGATGACAGTGAAATCCTTACCTGAGACTGGGTTTAATTAATAAATGCTTCATATGTACCTGTAACAATATTACTGAGCTCTTCTAGCTTTCTTTTTTTCTCTCTATACTCTTCTTCTGCCACCTGAAGTTGTGGAAGACATTCAACTAATTCCTCTTCTTTTTCTTTGGTAATTTGTATTTTCTTAACAAATATTTCCTTTAAAGAAAATAAAACCAATGGAGAAATATAATTTTGGATGATTCACACAACAATTTAAAGTAGAATATAAGTTTTTTGAGTTTCATCTGTCTTGGTCTCCTATCCTGAGGTACACAGAAAGATATATGGCATATACTAATCTTTTAATAAATATTTGTTTCCTGACTCACTGACACTCTAACAATCTACAAAGTAAGGAGATTAGATTTAATTGGTTCTCTTAAGATCCTTTGTGCTTTCTATCTCTTCTGCTATATCTCTATGAACACTACCATATATACAGCCCAAAAACATATCTGAGAAAATTTCCTTTGATAATATTTTACCAAAAAGAGGCAGGTAAACAGAATACACTTCTAACACATGTTGGATGTGAGAAACGCAGAGACGATAGAAGTAATTGGATATAATGGTAAAATAAATGGGTAAAAAGTGCCCAAAGCAAAAACATGAAGATGGCTGCTTACTTACTCAAACTCAAGTTTTATTTAGTTTCATATGGAATAGTAGTTGGACCTTCTTAGCAAATCAGGATCAATTTTAAATGGTGACTAAGACAGAGACTGCCAGCTGACACTTAATATTTGTTCTCTTCTCCTTCAGTATTAGGGCCCTGAATTTCAGCTGAGCCCATGGCTTCTGGCTAGAGTGTGGTTTCTGGGCTTCCCTTGCAGGCGAGTATGACCAAGGTGTTTGTGAACAGAAGTCATGTGTAACAGGAACAGCTATATGCTCCTTTGGTCCTTTCCTCCCTCCCCTGGCCAGAGGAGAATGAGAATGGAGGCTACTACTTGACACACAGATGTTAGATTCATGCTGAGGATGGCAGAGCCACCCTGCCAGCCCTGGATCCCTTCCCGATGGCCTGGACTGGGAAAGAGAAACAAACATCTCTCTTGCTGTAATGACCACTTTACAGCATCTTCTCCACTAGAAGTTCAGACTCACAAAATTTGATTAGGCTACACTTGACCCAGTTTACTCTTAAAATACTTTTAGTTTTAGTTTTCATTTTTGTCCAAGTTGTATGCACACATAATTGGAAGGAAATGCTAAATTTTAGCAGGCCAGTGCTAGGCATGCTTCCCTACTGGGAGGTGTCTGGACAACATAGCAGACCAGTGGCTAGTTTCCTTCAAACCCACCAAAGCGATACTTTAGATGCGAGAGAGAGACTCACACAGGTGGGGCTATAGCCTCCCTGGCTCAGAAACCCCATTTTTATAAAGGAACTAATATATCTTGGACATTCCTTCCAAGTCTCTCTTCCCACTTAAGAGAGCCATCAAATCCAGCCCAATGCCAGTTTCCCAATAAAAAGATTGTTAATCCTTTTCACATCTTGCTTATGTTCACTGTGTTTTGGTATATCTTTGATAGAGTAGTTCTCTTGCACCTTAACTAATACACTGACATGCTGGCTGATATGTCCCCTCCCAAATTGCCATTAGCATCCTTATGAATAAATACAGAGAAGCTAAAATGCATAGAAAAATACCATAATTCAAAAATACAATGCAGAAGCAGGAGTACATTTCTCCAGACCACAACATTTAGGAAAGGCTGATTTAAGAAATGCAATCCTGTATTATCCATACTGTGTTTTTTTTTGTTTTCGTTTTAATTTTTTCAAGACAGTCTCACTCTGTCACCAGGTGCCAGGCTGGCATGCAGTGGCACGATTTCGGCTCAGTGCAACCTCTGCCTCCTGGATTCCTGCCTCAGCCACTCAAGTAGCTGAAACTACAGGCATACACCACCATGCCCAGCTAATTTGTTGTATTTTTTTAGTAGAGACAGGGTTTCATCATGTTGGCCTGGATGGCGTTTTTTAAAAAAACAATAGCCTGTGAATACAAGTTTGTATGTACATGCATTAATTCATTCCCATTGCCCGCACACAGCTCAGGCTGCGAGGGCTGCCCTGATGAGAAGCCATGCTCTTGTTTCATGCTCCAAAAGAGACTGTGGATTAACAGGTTCAGTGTAGCCAGTTGTTGCTTTGTCTGTGGGCTCACGTTGTTGGAGTAGGGCAGCCAGTCAGGTGCACAGTCTTCAGATCCTCCAGATCCTTTCTCAATGTCTGATTCCTGAGCCACAGACATATTTAGGTCAGTGGTGACAAGGTTCAGTTTATGTTCCAGGTCCCCCATCTCCCTGAAGTTGAAGCCTTGGAAAAGAGAGATCAACGTAGATTCCAGTCTACACTCGCTCATCCCGTGAATTCCAGTTTATCCTTGCTTCCATTCACTTCCTGTTGGTCTTTCCATACCAAGTACCTGCCCAGCTGACTTCAGGCCTCAGCACCAGATGTAAAGCTGACAGCCTCACCAGACTGTGCAAGTAGATACCAACCGCAGTTGCAGAAGGTCAAGTCCTGGAATAAACCCCTTTCCCAGCAGCTCTGCTTCTCTGATCAAATTCTGCCAGATACAGGGCTGTCGGACCCAGAAAACTGAATGGTCCTTGGCATGGGCTTGTCCATGCTGTATCAGGATGATAAGCAAAATCATCCTGAGAGAAAAATTACAATGGAGGGCCTCGTATCAGAGCCATGTCCATGGAAAAGCCAGTCACAGCACTGCCTTGTAGACAACATATCCCAACATTGGGATGCTTATATTATGAACCCGTGACTAATCTCAATATTCAGGGCTGTTTTCCTTAGAATTTATGAGTCAGAGACCCAAATGGTAGTGGGACTTCTCACTATTAAACCTAATGATTTTGCTTTTCCTTCCTGTGACTTTGGTTTCTGTTGATTTAGAGATACTACTGGGGAGAAAAATGGTTCCACCAGGGGCACAACCACAGTTTCATAAACCAGAATCTGAAGTTGCTTCCTTCTAATTTTGGGCTCCTCATGCCACTGAATCAAAGGCCAAAATGGGATTACAATGTGCCTGAGGTTACTGATGGTGATTATATCAAGGGGAAATCAGGTTATTGCTATATAATAATGGTACACAGGCTGCCATCGGCCCATGAGTTTCTGTGAATCAGGTGTGGGTGGACACAACCCTGAAGTGATCACATGGCCTGGGAAGCTGAGCACAGGCTGGAGGCCTGTCTGCAGTGGGTTTGCAGTTGATTTTCTTGAGTTTTTCAATCTACCAATTATTTCATCTGCCAAGTTTTATGCTTCTATTTTACATATCTTGCCTAATTGCACTGTATAAACTTGAGTAAAAAGTTAAATAGGATCCTTATTCCTTATCCTGTTCATGACTCAAAAAGATTTCCCTCATTGTTTTACCAGTAAGTATGATGGTAAAATTATCAAAAATATCTGAGACGCTGACCACGTCTTAACACCTCTTCAGTTACCATTTTGGTTCAAGCTACCTTCATTTCTCACTTGGGTTATTGCTATAGCTCCCTAATTGTTCTTCTGCGTCCACCCTTTTCTTTCCTAAATTCTACTCAACATAGAAGCTAGAGTGATTGTATTTAAAGGAAACTCAGATTATTTCAGCATCCACTCAGAACCCTCCAATGGCTTTCTAGCTCAGACAGAGCAAAGGACAAAGCACTTATGATAGGCTATAAGGATGTGCAGATGCTCCACTTGGATCTCCTCTTGAGGGTGGACTCACCACACCATTGTGAGGAATGTGTTTATAGCTGATACCTCCAATAGCTGGCTCCTTCAGGGTGAACTCAGTTATCTAGCCAATATCATGCTCCTTTGGGGCAGTCCCCAGTCAGTGACTAAGCAAGGAGGTCGTGCAAGGATGCAGTCATTTCTGTCTAAGGCAGTCCTCTTCAAACAGGCAGTCCTTGCTCCGGAGCTCCCCAGAGAGAGTTTGTCAGGCTACATAATGGCCAGACAGCTTTCCCTGCCCAATCTTTTCACAGATACTTCTCCCTAATATGGCTTTGCACTCCTAATTCCGTCTCAGCACCTGCTTCCTGAAGATGACTCCCCACTACCCTGGCACTCCCCAGCTCTTATTCAGCAACCCCACCCCTTTGTGATTCCTTAGATAGGAGGGTCCTGCCTCATGCCCTTCCTGCCTGGCATGCTTTCTACCTGGAGCCATCTCCTGAAAACATCTGCAGGGCACCCTTGCTCATATTCAGGATTCCTTCTCTGACTACCCTATTTACACAGACCATATCACGTGCACTCTCCCTGTCCCACTTCCCTACCTGATTTTTCTCTGTACCATTTATCACCATCCAATATATGACATGGTCTACTTTTTATCTCATTTATTTCCATTCCCCCATCGCTAGATAGTAAGCTCCATAAGGGCAGAGTTTTTGCGTGTTTCAGCATTTAGAAGAATGCCAGGCACCAAGACTAATGCTTTCCACCCCGACTTCTCTCCCCTGCACCCTGTTTCTTCTAACATTGTAGTCATTTGTGTCATGCTTTCTTTCCTTTGTTTGTTCCTTGAGTTATGCTAGTTTCTGTTTTAGCTCTTCCTGTTTTCTGGCCATCACCTTCTGACATCTGTTACCTAAGTTCCTACATTTCCATACTGATAATTTTCCTTTGTACTGCTATTAAACTATTTTTTAAAATTCACAGAATATTTTATTATTTGATCATAGTTTTTTTTCTTGTTTGTTTGTTTGTTTTTGAGACAGAGTCTTGCTCTGCCACCCAGGCTGGAGTGCAGTGGCAGGATCACAGCACACTGCAACCTTGACCTCGTGGGTTCAAGCAATTCCTTGCCTCAGCCTCCTGAATACTTGGGATTGGCACATGCCACCATGCCCAGCTAACATTTTTGTAGTAGAGACAGGGTTTCATCATCTTGGCCATGCCCAGCTAACTTTTTTTGTAGTAGAGATGGGGTTTCATCATCTTGGCCAGGCTGTTCTTGAACTCCTGACCTTGTGATCCACCTGCCTTGGCCTCCCAAAATGCTGGGATTATAGGTGTCAGCCACTGAGCCTGGCCTGATTATAGTTTTTATTTGTTCTGCACCACCATTTTTTCTGAGTGTTCTTCATTTGTTGGAAAGTTTTATTCCTCTTTTCACTTGTTTTTCTCCTAGTATTTTTGTATGAAAAAAAGTGTCTACTTTCTTTTGGTTACTAATATTAATATAAAGAATTAGCTATCCTTGGGCCAGTCATCTGCAGAGGGTTTCTGCAGGATGTGGCAGGATGAAATGAGGTTGGGGAAGACAGCTTGGATCAGGTAAGACTCTAAACTAGGACATTTCAGAGCTCCCTATTTTCATCTCACAGTATGAGACTGTTTCCTTCAAATAAAGCCCCTCTTTGGTAGCCAAGACCTCTTCTTCCTTTCCAAACCTAATCCAGTTCAGGAAGGCTTCTACCACCATCCCTATTCTCAGCTGCTCTGTTAATGGCTGCCTCCAGGGTAATATCACCTTGAAAAGGTGTGTGTGTGTGTGTGTGTGTGTGTGTGTGTGTGTGTGTGTGTTTCTGCAGACCTGGCACTTCTGGGTACTTTCAGTGCCTTTTCTGTCTACCTCCCCCAGCACCCATGCCCTGTTCTATCTCAGGTTGGCTTTTGGCAGTTCCCAAGGCAGCCTGATACCCTCTTTTTAAGGAGCACATCTAAGACTGACTTTACTAGTCTCCCTTGCCCCTCCTATTGTTAAGCCAGCTCCAAATGACTTCCTGTTCAGCTCCAACTATCTCTGAGGCCATTGCCAGTAGTTCTACATAATCTGAAGTGTGATTATTATTATTTTGCTGAAAACATATTTATTTTGCTTCCTCTTCAGGAAAAAAAGAAAGGTCTGGAATAACTGTAACCTTTTTCATACTAAAATATTTATTTTGCATTTAACTGATTAGAATAGCATGAAATAGTATTCCCCCTCCCCCCATGTAGTCATCCAAAAGTATTCTTAGATGCAAAATAAAATTTACCTCATACTTGCTTATCTCTTTCATTAACATTTTTTCTTTGTTAATAAACTCTTTCTCATCTTCTTTTAATTCTATTGTAAGTTTGTCAATCTGTGCCACAAATTCATTGATTTCCTTTTCTCTCAAACTGGTCTAAGTAAAGAAAAATGAGAATTTGTCATTTCAAATAGCCAGGAAATTAATATCTTTTTGCATGAGACCTGCTTCTGATTTCAGTTTATATAATTTCCCAGCAACCACTGAGAGAAACAGTTTTCCCTCCAGAAATTAAGTTATTCACCAAATGATATTTTTATAAATATGACGCAATGAATGGGGAGGGTAGAGGACAGTGAGTGAGCAGAGGGTAAATATAAAAGCTTAAAAAATGATGTCTGGGCTCATATTTTTAGAGGTAATTCACCTAAAGACTAACCTTAAGTAAGTTTCTAGTTATGTGCTTCAAAAGCATATTCTACTTTATTTGCTAATTCTCTCTAGTTAATATACAGCAAATGAATACACTTCCTAAGAAAATTACATAATTTACTCTAAGCATGAACTCGGAAGAGGGGAAAATAATTTTTAACAAGATAGGATGTAATTAAATATTGAAGGAGAACTGCTGATATGCAATGTAGGGGACTAATTCTAAGTTCCTTGGGTCCCCTTACCTCGGTAAGTAATTCAATTCGTCTAGCTTCTGCGTTCTGAATTTTTTCCATAATAGCTTCTATTTCAGCGTTTGTCTTGGCTGTCCAACGTGCCTGCTGTTTTCTCAAGCAAGCTATTTGCCACTGTGTTATAACACTAGAGATTAGAACAAAAAGAATTACCATTAAATTGACATAGTGGTTTACTAAAAACATGAGGAAATTCAAAGCAAAACAAGTCATACTATGACTCATAATATTGTTTGTGCTATTAGTGTTGCAGGCTACACACATTGCCTGAAAAAGTAAGACAAAACATTCACTGTCTCAACTCTGTCTCTGCAAGTTGCTTCAGGGTAAGAAGTTACATCTGCACATCCAATAGAACAGTGAACAAACCACACTTGGCAGTTTGCCTCCTTCAGGTAAGGAACAGAAATGAGGAAGGCTTGGAGCAGGTGGAAAAAGAGGGCCAGACAGAAATAGTAATAGAATTACCTAATTACCTGATGTGCTACTAATAGATTTCAAACTTCTGGGTTCTTAAGTTTTTCTCCACCACAACATGAAAAAAACTACATATTTGAAGAATGGTAAAAATGTGCAATTTGAGTATTTAATTGCACATTCAATAATAACACTGGCCAGGCATGGTGGCTCACACCTGTAATCCCAGCACTTTGGGAGGCTAAAGCAGGCAGATCACTTGAGGCCAGGAGTTCTAGACACGCCTGGTCAACATAGCAAAACCCCATCTCTACTAAAAATACAAAAAATAACTGGGCATGGTGGTGGATGCAGTCCCAGCTACTCTGGAGGCTGAGGCACGAGAATCGCTTGAATCTGGGAGGCAGAGCTTGCAGTGTGCCAAGATGGTGCCACTGCTCCATTTTGGGCAACAGAGCAAGACTGTCTCAAATAAGAATAATAATAACAACAATAATAAAATACAGCTAAGTATAAGCAAGAGCTTTTTAGGTGCGCTGATCTAAATATAGTATTTTACATGTATCACCTCATTTACAGTCACAGCTACTTTATAAGGTAGGTACTGTTATCCTTCCCCACTTTATAGGGATGTGAGCAAAGAGAAGTCATTAAATAACTTAGCCTTGGTCACAGAGCTAATAAGGACAACAACCAAAGCAGCCCATCTGCAGAGCCACTTTCCTCTCTAACCACATGTGTCACCTCCCCAACTGGTTTACAAAGAGGCCTGGATGAGCAAAAGGCATTGCACAAATATTAGCAATTTTACTCTTTGGTTACTCTACTTGATTTAAATAGAAAACACTAGTTCTGTTCAATGTAAAAAAAAATTCAAATTTGCCAATATATCTAGATCTGAGAGAATTCACACACAATTTAATTTAGGAAAATCATTTCCTTGGGTTCTAGTAACAAGTACTGTGCACTGTTCATTAAGATACATATACTGCTGATAACACAAAACACAAATAAACTTTTTTTTTTTACCATCTCTGACTTTCTCTTTCCAGGTCAGCACTCAGGATTCTGATTTGTTGCTGATATACTGTTTTTGTTGCTCTAAAAAGAAAAACATATTGGATTTTGCATTTGTGGAAGCTGTTGGAATACACAATAGACTCTTTATGTATAATTTGTATGCTCAGTAAGGCTATAGTCTAATTGGGAGATAAAACAAGTCTTGTGAAACAACTAAAGATTTTAGTGGCAGACTAGTAGAAAGACAACTCCAGTTCTGTGTTAGTGCAAACTGATTCTGCAAGGGTTGGTGGATAGCCAAAGATAGAGAAGAGATTTCTGGAGAGGCAACTGATGAAGGGTTACTGAAGGTTAATGTTTCTCAGAGGGAGGAATGTGGGTTGTCAGAATGGATAGTAATCTTACCAAGGAAAGAGTGTCACCATATGGAAATACAGGGAGAGAAGGAGCAGCACATCAGGCCTCTGTTACAACCTATGGTAGGCTTGCTGTATACAGAGGACGTGAAGAAAAGAAATAAGAAAGTAAGGTTGACACATTGTTGAGGAACTCCAGACCCCAGACTGAGCTCTGGTTTGATATAATATGTAACTCAGAAAGCCAATATAGAGTCTTAAACTGGAGAAAAGTAGTAACTAAGGATAGATGATATTCTTGTGCTAGGATGAATGGAAATGTGAAGATTCCAACACAGGTAACAGAAGCCTTTATTTTTATCCCTTGCCCTGCCTTTTCTCTATTAATTACTTCCCGGACATAAATAAGTTGAAAGCCATAAATAAAATGCTGCTTTACATCTTTTGAAAGAAATATTCATAAATGAAAGTTAGAATAGGACACACTGTTAAATAAACTAGAAACATAAAGAGAATATATATAGATAAATATATATATAGAAATAAATAGTACAAAGAATTCCATATATCTTTCACCAACTTTTCCAATTGCTATCATTTTACCTTATTTGTTTTATTATCTTCCCAGGAATAATTTTGAGTGAAACAAATTCAGTTATAGAATATAATCCAATTTTTTGATACATACATATAAATATATATTTGGAAGCATATAGTAAACTGTTAACAGTGATTATTTCTGTGGGAAAATTGAGAGATTAGGGTAACTTTTACTCTCTAAGTTATACAGTTTATATTTCAATTTTAAAATCATGTATGGTATTATTTTCTAATCAGAAAAATTAAAAATTAAAATTAAAATGACTTAGAATGCAAAATGAACATCACTGGGACTCAGTGATGTGATAATGTTCAGGAACACTCTTGTCACTGCACCCCAACTGGTCCATTCCTGGGGCCCAGGGGCTCCCATAAAATTCAGAACCTATCTATCCTTTCAATGAAAATCCATGAGAATGACTCCAAGACTGTGAAACAGAGAGAGCTAGTTATAAACTTCCATTTCTGTACTATGTTAGAAGTTGACACAGATTTATTGTTATCATTTATTACAAAATAAATGCAGAGAAAGTAAAGTTCAAAAATTTCAAAGGCAATAAATATACCGATGAAGTTCCTGGAGTGTGATGAGTCCTTCTTCCATATTTTTTATGTCTACTCTCCTTTGTGATAGAAAGTATTCTTTCTGAGCAATAAATGTCAGTTGTTTCTGATTTCTATCATGAAAAACAGAGTTATCACTTGTTGAAGGCTGACATAACCAAATATGCAAACACAACAATTTCAAAAACAGTTTTGAAAGTTCAGATCATGAGCTATTCACTAAATAAATTATTAAAACTAAAAACAAAGTCTTTTGTTAGTGGTAGCTACATCTAAATTTATGCATAGAATTTTCTTTTTTAAAATTTTTTCCCAGCTAATTTTTGTACTTTTGTAAAGATGGGGTTTCCCTATGTTGCCCAGGCTGGTCTCAAACTCCTGGTCTTAGGTGACCCGTTTATGTCAGCTTCCCAAAATGCTGTATTGCAGGCATGAGCCAGTGCACCTGGTCTACACAAAGGATTTTCATAGAACTTATTAAAATTCCCCAACCACTGAAAGAACATTCACCACAATAGTAACCACAAAACAACAAGAACAATTGTATACTGCTTCATCTGAGCGTGTGTGTGTCTCTCCTAAACTGCTTGTCAATTCTGTCATGTTCTTCTGTGAAAGGTGAAGGAGTCAGTGAGACTAACTTTGCATATTGGTTCTACCTTTTAATTAGGGTGTGATCTAATAATAACAGCCAAAAAGTAGCTTCACCTGTCAATAAGCCTCAGTATCCACCAGCTATAAAATGAGGATTACAATACCTAGCTCAATGGATGAATGAATTTAATAAGATGTAAAGTGTTCCTCTCAGTGTGTGGACGGATAAGGCTAATTTTTTTTTTGAGATGGAGTCTGGCTCTTGTCACCTAGGCTGGAGGGCATGATCTCGGCGCCCGGCTCATTGCAGTCTCCACTTCCCAGGTTTAAGAGTTTCTCTTGCCTCAGCCTTCCAAATAGCTGGGATTACAAGTGTGGGCCACTATGCCCAGCTAATTTTTTATATTTTTAGTAAAGATGGGGTTTCAAGTAGTTATTTTTCTGTCTCAACTTGTAAGAGAAAATAAGGCTCAGAGAAGTTTTTAGTCTTGTTCAAATGCCCAGATATTGATAGGAACCTCCCTGTTACAGAAAGTGTTTTATCTCAGTGACTCTTTCAAACTGCTGTGGACTGAACTGTGTCTCCCCCTTCTACCTACAGAATTTATGTGTTGAAACCCTAACCCCCCAACATGATGAAGAAATGGAGAGATTTGGGTAATTTTTACTCCCTAAGTTATATATTTCTATATTTGAATTTAAAAATCAGGTACATCAGAAAAAACTAAAATTTAAAGTGCCTTAGAATGGAAGAAAGGAACATTGTAGGGGCTTAGTGTCATGATAATGTTCAAGCATATTATAAAGATGGGGGCTTTGGGGAAGTGATTAGGTTTGGATGAGGTCACGAGGGTGGGATCTTATAAAAGAAAGACACCAGAAAACATGTTCTCTCTATCCACCATGTGAAGACACAGAGAGAAAGCAGCTGGCTGGCTATAAGCTAGAAAAGGGCCCTCAATCAGAACTCGACCAAGCTGGTACTGTGACCTCAGACTTCCGGCCTCCAGAACCGTAAGAAAATCAATTTCTGTTGCTTAAGCCAGCCAGTCTATGGTATTTTGTTATGGCAGCCTGAGCTGCTGAGACAGAGCTCAGTAAATGATAGCAAACATTTTCATTTTCATCAATAGATTTTAAAACTAGGGTAAGTTTAAGTGGAGAGCCACCACTTTGATAGCAAGAAAAACACCCCTTAACGATAGCATGTTGAATCACATGTGGATGGTGGGTAAAGACATACTCGTCATGGACCTTTCGTTTCTGCAAAAAAGCTTTTTCTTCTTCATTTAAAACAATCTTATATTGTCTGGTAAGAGTTTTCATTTTCTCTTGTAGGTCTTTGTAATTCACACGAGCAGCATGTAGTATTTCAGCCAGCTAGAGAAAAACAAACGAGTTGAATGAGAGGACTTGCTTCACTGCTCCTCTGAGGGGATCTGCATCAGGTGGTAACTCAGAGAGCACCTGTTATATTGCTTAGCACACTGTGAACATGCCATAAATGCTAAGCGATTTAATTCTATAGCAAATGTGCAATTGTACATTTGGGGGCCACTACTATAATTTTTTTTAAGTATAGAAAAGTAGTAAACCATGCTGCAAAACCATAGAGTAATAATCCATATTGAAATACAAAATGGGAGGAATAAACTGATCGTTTGGCAACATTTATATGTCCTTATTCCAGAATATAAACTCTACAACATATAAAAGAAAATGTAACATACTTAGAAGCTCTTGCTCAGAACATTTTTGAGTTGATATTATGCTTGCTTCATGTGTAATATTTCTATTTGAGGACAAAAAATAGTACCCACGAGTGTTCTACATGAGATATTAATTTTGTGCTTATATTGACTTGCTTCAAATAAGGTAAGAAAGTCAAGTTTAGCAGAAAAAGTGAGCTTAGTAGTTCAAAACAACCTTGTGTCAGGGGGCAAATATTTGTAGAAGTGTTGAGGAACTCACAAGATAATAAAGAATTACTCAAAAAAAAAAACAAAAACAAACATAGAATTACTACTCAACCCAGCAATCCCATTACTGATGATAGGCTTGAGCCACCATGCCTGGCCTACAGTAGATTTTGATTGCTCTGTTTCACAGTATTGATTTTACTCAAATGTTTAGAAACTCTAAATATTTGTTCATCTTCTAATTGTGTGTGTGTGTGTGTGTGTGTGTGTGTGTGTGTGTGTGTATGTGTGATTTTTTTTTTCTTTGAGACAGGATCTTGCTCTGTCACCCAGACTGGAGTACAGTGGCATGATAATCGCTCACTGCAGCCATTTATTTCCAAAGGAAAATAAATTATTCTACCAAAAGGACACCGTGTTTTTATGTTTACTGCAGCACTATTCACAACAGCAAAGACATGGAATCAACCCAGGTGCCCATGAACAATGGATTGGAGATTGGATAAAGGAAATGTTGTACTTATACACCATAGAAGACTAGCGGACATTTAAAAAAAAGAATGAAATCGTGTCCTTTCTAGCAATATGGATGTAGCTAGAGGTTATTATCCTATGTGAATTAATCCAGAAACAGAAAAAGAAATACTGCATGTTCTGACTTCTAAGTAGGAACTAAACGTTAGGTACACATGAACCCAAAGATGGAAACAATAGACACTGGGATTCTAGAAAGGTGGAGAGAAGTGGGGAAGGTTTGAAAACTACCCATCAGATATTATGTTCACTACCTGGATGACAGAATTATTAGAAGCTCAAACTTCAGCATTACCCAATATACCCTTGTAACAAATCTGCACATGTACTTGAATCTAAGAATGCAAGAATCCAGAGTGATAAGGCTAGCACTTAAAATTCCTCTTGCCCTGAAGACATTTGTAACATAGAAGAAACCACATGAAAACCAAGGTTTGGGTTTTCTGCATGGCAAGTGGAATAAAACCAACATGTACTGCTCATCCAAGTGTTGAGCCTACATAAACCTCCCACTATTTCAGTCTGAAATTCCAAAGAGCTTCACCCTCTGGTTAAAGGTAAACTGAAAGTTAACAAGTCCAGCTTAACTTTGATCACCAGGGATGCTTAGCATGGATTAAGGTAGCTTGGAAATTGTAACACCCTACCCATCTGACAGAAGTGAATGTAAACTGCTCCTGGGGTAAACATCATTATCTTAAGCCTCAAATTGCTTTTACAAACCATATTAGTCCATTTTCATGCTGCTGATAAAGACATAATCACAACTTGGAAGAAAAAGAGGTTTAATTGGACTTACAGTTCCACATGGCTGGGGAGGCCTCAGAATCATGGCAGGAGGTGAAAGGCACTTTTTAAATGGAGGCAGCAAGAGAAAATGAGGAAGATGCCAAAGCAGAAACCCCTGGTAAAACCATCAGATCTCATGAGACTTATTCACTACCACAAGAACAGTATGAGGGAAACTGCCCCCATGATTCACATTATCTCCCACCAGGTCCTTCCCACAACATGTGGGAATTATGGGAGTACAATTCAAGATGAGATTTGGGTGGGGACACAGAGCCAAACTGTAACGCAAACATTTTTTTTAAGTACAATGTCCAGCATACAGTTTTCCACCAGGAACAGAAGGAAATAAGAGCATGAACAAACATTGGCAGAAACAACACACTGCAGAAACAGACTACAGACCCATAAAGACATAAGATATTGAAATTAGCAGACACTGAACTATAAAACTAGTATGCTTATTATGATTGAAGAAACATTAGATATTCTTGAAAATGATAACAGGAAATTAGAAATGGTAATGAGTCTCACAGCATATTTAAAAGGTAACAAAAAATTACCAGTTGAAAAACAATAACGGGCCAGGCATGGTGGCTCACACCTGTAATTTCAGAACTTTGGGACCTCAGGTGAATTACCTGAGGTCAGGAGTTTGAGATCAGCCTGGCCAACATGGCAAAACCCTGTCTCTACTAATACAAAAATTAGCTGGGCATGATGGCACACGTCTGTAGTCCCAGATACTCAGAAGGCTGAGGCAGGACAATCACTTGAACCCAGGAGGCAGAGTTTGCAGTGAGCTGAGATCATCCCATTTCCCTCCAGCCTGGACAGCAGAGTGAGACTCTGTCTCAAAAAATTAAATGAATGAATGAATAAATGAATAAATACAATAACCAAAATTAAGAATTCAAATAAGACCACTCTGCTTAAAATGCAGGAAGGGGAGGCAAAAAGCTGAAAATACAGAAGAGTTAAGTATGATATATAGAGGATACATATATTAGAACAAATAACTGCATACATACAATTGGAGTCTCAGAAAAAGATTGACACTGGTAGAAAAATGTCTTGTACCGCCAGTCTATTACAAAAGTAGAAAGGTTAAGAAAGAACCCTACCCTAATGTCAGAGTTAATTGATACAAAGAAAAGAGGGCCCTGGGCCATTCCCTGTGGTGGCCAATTGAGCAGCTGTATCTGGAGTATTTGCTTCAACTTCTTCCCTTACTTCTGACACTTATACTAATCAGCCAACTGTAGTGGAGATTTTCTCCATACCAAACCAGTGAGTACCACAGGCAGTAACTAACCCCAGGAGTCTAGCATTGGTATAGATTTGCCATACCTAAGACAATACAGGTCCTCTTCTTCCTAATATATATCCCTCCTACCCGTACGTGCATAAGCCCAATCAACACATTCCACTCTTGCCACAAAATTATTTTCTTTTCTTCTTTTCCTTTTCCTTTTTCTATCGAGAGATGACATCTCACTATGTTGCCCAGGTTGGTCTCAAACTCCTGAGCTCACATGATCCTCCCACCTTGGCCTCCTTAGTAGCTGGGATTACAGGCACACCATTGCACCCAGCACCTCCCACAAAATTACTACATGCAGGCTCAGTAAACAGAAGAGACAAGAAGAATGCACAATTAAGGCTGGCTGCAGTGGCTCACACCTGTAATTTACTACTTTGGGAGGCTGAGTAGGAAGATCGCTTGAGACTGGGAATTCGTGAGGCTGCAGTGAGCCATTATCATGCCACTATACTCCAGTCTGGGTGACAGAGCAAGATCCTGTCTCAAAGAAAAAAAAATCTCACACACACACACACACACACACACACAAAATTAGAAGATGAACAAATATTTAGAGTTTCTAAACACTTGAGTAAAATCAATACTGTGGAACAGAGCAATCAAAATCTACTGTAGGCCAGGCATGGCGGCTCAAGCCTATCATCCTAGCACTTTGGGAAATGGAGGTAGAAGGATCGCTTGAGCCCAGGAGTAAGAGACCAGCCTGGGCAACACCAGGAGAATAGAACAAAAGAAACAGGTGAACATATAATGGCTGAAAATTTTGCAGAACTTATGAGATATAGAAACTCTCAGATTTAAGGAGCCAAATAAATTCCAAGGAGGAAAAATAAAAAGATAATTTGGACACATCATAGTGAAACTAAACAGCTAAGTTAAGGGAACAAAGAAGATCTAAAGAAAAGACATGCCACGTTAATGGACTGGAAGCTTCAATATTGTGAAAATGTGAAATCCTCTTCAAATTGATTTATAAATCTAATACAATCCTAATCAAAATCTAAGGTTTTTTTGGAAGAACTTGACAAACTGATAGAAATTGAAAAGGTCAAGCTGGAACAATTATGAAGAAAAAGGTGAAGGACTTATACCACTAGCCATAAAAACTTATTTTAAAGCTACTAATTAAGACAATATTGTTCTAGTGTGAGGAGAGATGAATGGTTCAAATGAACAGAGTCAAAAATCCACATCTATATTTATTATGCACACTTGATTTATGACAATAGCATGACCACTCTGTGGTGAAGGAAAGGATTGTATTTTCAGTAAATGGTGCTGGTTAATTGGACAACCTTAAGGAAAAATATGAATCTTGCCCACTATCTCAAAGCACACACACATACATTCCAGATGGCTCCTAGTCTTACGTGTGAAAGGTTAAATAACAAAGCTTCCCAATGGTAACAGAAGAGAACATTCTCATGACATAGGACATAAGGAACATTAACTAAAAAGAAAAAGATTAATAAACTGAACTTCATTAAAATTAATAAATTATATTAATCAAAAAGATAGATATGTACATAAATATTATATATTTATGGTTTATATATTGTTCTGTAATATGTAATATTTAATAATAAAAAAAGTTAACTCCGGAAGGACTCAAGATGGCACTGTGAGAACAACCCAGGATTGAAGCTCTCGGTTAATGTGCAAAGAGGGTGAGTCAGGGCCGCATTTCCAGACGGATCTTTGTTGCCCACAGAACGGGGAAATTCCCAGGTATAAAAGAGACGCGGGATGCCAGGCAGAGGTTTTGGCTGGTGCAGCCAGCAGCCGGCAGCCGGTGCAGCAGCGGCCCACGCTGT